GTGTGTGTCTTACCAGGTGGGCTGGCTGCGCTGATGTACACCGACACAGTTCAGACTTTTGTCATCATTGCTGGGGCCTTTGTCCTCACCGGCTTCTGTGAGTCCAATCTTTGCAGCACGACACAACACGCGGGTCACACCTGGGTCCCCAGCAGTTTTACAACAACAGGAAAGACGTTAACCAGGGTCTGCAATCATTGACTTCATTACAGTAGAGGTGTACAGTGTGCTGACAGTGCAGACATGCAACCCCACCACACCTTTCGCTGACTCTACAACCATTCTTTACAAAAACGTCTTGAAATCACAGTCTAGTACTGGTGTAGAATATTAACTAATCCTCTGAGCAGTTAGTGCTGCTTCAGCAGCTGACTCATGTCTTCAGTTAGGATATCAGTTTGACACAACAAGAGAGTTCTGGACTATTGCGCAGTAAAAACACAACACGCTTACACACACAAGCAAGAGTCCTGTTTGAGATTTTGGGAAATTGAGTGTGTTTTAAGCATCATCAGCCTTAGAGGGAGGGGTCCTAGCACAAATTATCCTCACGCTTTCTCCTTCTCACCTCTAGCATTTGCTAAAGTCGGGGGCTACAGCGCTCTGCTTAATAAATACAGCTCCGCCACGCCGCTTAATTTCACCTCCCTGGAACCCCACCGCTACAACATCTCCCCCCACTGCTACACCCCCAGAGCGGACGCCTTCAACCTGCTGAGAGACCCAGCTGCAGGGGACCTGCCCTGGCCCGGGGTGCTGATTGGGATTCCAATAGGGGGCATCTGGTACTGGTGTACAGATCAGGTGACTTTTATATCAGTGGAAGCACTTTGGTTTGGGGAGCTGGTATTAGCCAGGGAGTTCAGCCAGTTTCTAACAGCTTCAACTACCATAAAAGGTGAAATACAGCAACATATGTTGTCAGAGTTACAACTTTAAATGGCACGCTTTACCAGTATTAGTAATTTAGTTCTTAAAAATCAATAGTTAAAGACAAACTTTGTAGCCTTTCTCTCAACTTCTCTGTTTATGCAGTCAGCGGACACTACCGCTGACTCAGAGAGGCTTACTGCAGCTCACAGAAGAACCTACTTTGAACCTACTCTTTTATTCACAGTCTTATTCCCTTCCTGGCATTACCCCAAAGGGATTCATGTCTCCACCCAGAATCTTTCGCTTGTTAGTCGAATGTGTAAATCGCTACACTGTGGAGCCAGCTGCAGCGCACATACACTGCTGTAACTGTCTTTACGATACACTGAAGTCAAGCTGATAACCTGGTACAAGGGCGCCTGTCCTCAAGGAGGAGGAGGAGGAGGAGGAACCAATGGAGTGCAACAATACAGAAAAATAGTCTAGCTGGTGAAGGATGAAAGAAAAACACATTAGCAAACCAGTATTTCATTTGCCCCCCAGTAAAGCATCCTCACATGCTGTGTTACACTAATAAGGCCCATAAGATGCAGAATTACTGCATTAACAGTTGCTACTTTAAAGCAAATGTCTGAACCTTTAGGCACATATCGTTAGTCTGTGTCTTTCTCCAGGTGATTGTACAGCGGTGCCTCGCAGCTCGCAGCATCACAGACGTGAAGGCCGGCTGCATCATGTGCGGCTACCTCAAACTGCTGCCCATGTTCCTCATGGTGTTCCCCGGCATGATCAGCAGGATTCTCTACCCAGGTCTGTGGGCTACACTAGTATAGTGGCAGGTGCACACTGCATCCTTATGAACCTGCCTGGCTCTTTTGAGACCGAATCGTCAAAAGTGACTCATCTCAAATCCAAGACCATAATTCCATTAAGCTTTTTGAACTCTCGCTTGTAAGCTTGACTTGCTGTAGGCAGGTGATGTGTCTGAACGTTGTGTGTGTGTGTTTTTATAGATGAGGTTGGCTGTGTGGTCCCTGAACTCTGCAAGAACATTTGTGGGACTGAGGTGGGCTGCTCCAATATAGCTTATCCTAAACTGGTGATATCAATAATGCCGGATGGTAAGGACACAATTATTGGCTACATTTTAAAAAAAAAAAAAAGGTTATTTTTGCCTTACATGACCCCTGCTCTGCTTCCTGTCACGCTTTTGTCCAGGTTTGCGCGGTCTGATGCTGGCTGTGATGCTGGCTGCTCTCATGTCCTCTTTGGCCTCCATCTTTAACAGCAGCAGCACTTTGTTCACCATGGACATCTGGACCCGTATCAGACCACAGGCCACTGAGCGTGAGCTCATCGTCGTAGGCAGGTACAGTGCAGCATGCTTTCTGTAACACTCAATGTTACAGAAAACCAGCATAACCAAAGAGAGGTCCTTTTCTTGGACTCTGCTTGAGTAACCCTGCATTAGCCACAGTTAACATAATCGTATTTATCTTATACTGGACGGCCCTTGTGTTCATCACCCTAACCCTAGCTCCGTGTAGGCTAACTTGCTACTGATTAGCAGCCCCTCGTAAATTGAAGGTTTGGAGCCAGAGCAGCGTCCCTGAGATGATCGTTTTAAGAATATCTGCTCTTACTTTGCTCGTCAAAATGAACTAGGAGTAGAGAAATAACCAAAAAGAACTTGTTGCACACACACTGACCTTATTATTTGAAACTATGGCCATGTTTATTATTATTAACCTTTATTTTACCAGGAAAAGTCCCATTGAGATTAAAAACCTCTTTTTCAAGGGAGTCCTGGCCAAGAGGTGACAACATGTTTAATATGAACATCTAACACTGTAATAATGCGCATGTCAGAAACTTTTGTTAAATAACAAGCAGTAGAGTTTTAAAGAATTACACTTTGCTGAAGACGTCATACGAGAAGTTCTTCATTTCCTTTCCTAGGAAAGTAATATAAACAGCAGAGGTTTATAAAACTGAACTGATATGGACTGATTTACCAAACTCTCATATTTTCTCTGGTCTTTAGAGTCTGGGTTCTGTGTATTGTAGCTGTCAGTATCTGCTGGATCCCAGTGGTGCAGGCGGCACAGAGCGGTCAGCTGTTTGATTACATCCAGTCCGTCTCCAGCTATCTGGCTCCCCCTATCGCCGCCGTCTTCCTCCTGGCTGTGTTTGTTAAGAGGGTCAATGAAACGGTGAGACATCGTCTGCCAACATTACAGCGATGAAACACCAGGTGTAGTCACAGTTATATGACATAACACTCATCTTCCTCCACTTGCAGGGGGCCTTCTGGGGCCTGATTTGTGGTCTGCTGATGGGTTTGTGTCGGATGTTGCTTGAGTTCTGGTTTGGTACCGGCAGCTGTATTTTCCCCTCCAGCTGCCCTTACCTGGTGTGTGGGATCCATTACCTCCACTTTGCCATTATCCTCTTCTTCTGTACCTCAGCGCTTGTGTTGCTGGTGAGTTGCTGCAGCGAGCCAATAGATGACCAGCATGTAAGTGATTTACACAGGACTGATTCACTGAGGGCCAAAATAAGGCCTTATTTATCAAATGCTTATGACAAAAACATGCCTTCCAGCTTCATCGTCTGGTGTTCAGCCTTCGTCATTCCAAAGAGGAGAGAAAAGATCTGGACTGGGAGCAAGAGGAAAAAGGGAGGAGGGCCAGGAGAGAGGCCAGCAGGAGGATGAGGGAGAATAAAAGCGACGCAGGTAAGAAACAAAGTGAAATCGCAGTGATGGAGAAAAGCAGAACAAACACTCGCTAAAGCAGCTTACAAACTATTTCTCCCTTTCAGTGGCTGAAGAGGAAGAGCAGTCTGGGATCTGCCAACTTATCAAACGGTTCTTTGGCCAGGGTGGCAGTTCCTCCCCGACCAATGACGAAGAAGAACCTGAGGAACCGGTGCAGATGCCCGACATCAGTGAGGACCCAGTGTGGAAGAACGCAGTGGACGTCAACGCTCTCATCATGATGGCTGTAGCAGTTTTCATGTGGGGATACTATGCATGACAGAGTCCTTATGTTGCTTAATGAAGGTGGATTTTTAAATGTCAAGAAATAAATACAAGTGTTGCCATCTGTTGGCAAACTCTGGTCACTGCACTTAAGCTATTTTCTTTATTTTGAAGTAGTTCAAAGTAGGCGCACGTGCAAATATACAACCATGCTGCATTCTGACACAGCATGGTCCTTCTCTACTTTTGTCCAGTTTTAAAAAGCATATGTAATGCACAGTCTGAAAAATGCTTTATCAGGTTAAAATGCCATTACTGTATACGGTTACATCGTGATTCAATCACAGGTCGATCTCGAAAGGTGTGAAGATTGAATTCTAATAGAAGTTAACTCAATAAAGCCTAAAGATTTTTCTAACCTCTAAAACAGTCTCAAAAAAAAAAAAAAAAAAAAAAAATCAGTGGAAAGTTTGGAGTTGCTTTATACCACCCAACATGTGTGCTCATACTGTGCCCATCTTCATTCCCGTTTTTCCGTTAAAAGCAGTTTCAAGGGAAGGAAAAAGGTGGTTTGTATTGTGTCCAATAATCGAGTCGGCTCTAATATTACTCCATAAATAGGCAGGGACACAGATTGACTTGTAATCGTAACTTGGCTGTTGAGACACCACACAAACCAGGTAGTGATTCAGATTTCCAGTTTTAATCATCACTTCTGTTTTTATTTAAGCAGATATTTCCCATGAGCATTGTACACATCTGAAACCCACAGAGGTCTCCCATAACTATCCAACCACCTTCCCATCTCCATGCAGAGTTTCAGCATCATTCATCACATCAGTTCTTTAATGTCCAGTCTGTCAGCTTGTGGGGAGGGGGAGGGGGGGGGGTCTGGGAGTGTAAAAGCAAGAGAGAGAAAGGCGGAGGCTTTTTGTTTCCCCTCCCTAAGAATGGAGAGTCAGAGCAGTCACCAGGCACTGTTCATCTTACACTCCCACTCTAAGAGTTTTGGGTGGATCCAGAAGAGCTGAATGAAGCCTGTTGAGCATCTGAAATCTAGCCACTTACAGGGTCCTGTGCGACTCCCAATACTCTTGATCATCTGTGAGGTATCTGATGCCTCAGTCTCCTGCAGGGTGGGTAAGAGGTAGGGGGGCTTTTAAGGCTGGAAGCTGGTGTAGAGAGTTTCTGCGGCGTGTGGTAGTTGGTTTAACCCACTTCAAAGCATGAATGACAGCTTTGGCAAACACTGCCCTCTGCCAGATCGGAGGACGGAGGGGGTGGAAGAAAGGAAGAGAGCTAGGGGTTAAAACAAACATAGAATACTTAAAAATAAATCTTTGCAGGTTGAGTAGGGTGACAGACTGGTACAGGGAGAACTCAGTCCTCAAAATAAAAGCAAATACAACAGCAAACAATCGGAGACACACACACACACACACACACACACAAAACAGCAAAAGAAAACAAAAAAATAAAAACAAAAAAAACGGCAAACAACCAAGTCAATCAAACCATACAAAGTGACATCAGGCCTTTCCAAAGTGACATCAAGTTTCTCCCCCCCCCAATTCAATCCCCCTGAACTTAATCAGGTTCATCTCCCATGATTCTCTGTAAACCAGAAAGTTCTCAGTGGCTCCTCTTTATGGCTGGTCAGCAAGGTTAGGGTCCAATCTGAAACTATGACACGGCCCCAAAATCTCAGTCTCAGCCAGTGTGCAGAGACTGTGCCTGTAATTAACCAATGGCTATTTCAGAATTAACATCAGTGACACAGGCAATGATTTCAGCAGCATTATCAGGGGACTGATCGACGTGTACAACATTACAGCACATTCAGAAAATAGAAATGCATGGTGCAGGACAGGTACAAATGGCAACCTTGTACAACGGAAAAGAAAAAAAAAAAAATCAAGTTTGCTTTATACAATCACATTTCTATATTAATGCTGAACATTCCACCACTGAAAAGTTTTACATCTGTTGGACTCGGTACAGCTCATTCCTTGAAGCACCATTGTACAGCAAACATGGAAGTTTGTGATACGACACAGAAACATAGAACAAGTTCTGGGAATAATAATAATAATAATAATAATAATAATAATAATAAGCAGGCTCTAGGGCATTACATTTTTATGCGTCACTTTATTAATGCTAATCTCAATCAAATACACTGCAAAGTTTTCACATGTATTACCTAACAACCATGTGCAGAGTTAGACAAGAACCCGAATGATTAAGAGGCAGAAAAAGGGTTGAATAACAGCAGCAGTAGGGGACCCAACCCTGGTATGGAAACTTTTCAAAGTGACCACTCTGGAGCACAGTGGGGGAGAGAGGGATTCTGGAGGGCTTCAAAAAACAAAAACAAACAAGGCAAGGAGAGTGACACACCTCTCTTCCTTCTTTACCACTGAAATACCTCGTACTGAGGGCAGGTATGAGGAAGGAGTGCTGCAGCAAAGAAAAACAAAACAGTCCTGGAGTGCTGATCCTCTCTGTTCCTGTTTGTCCTCTGATCAGATGAGAGTGGGAAAGAAGGAGGTGCACAGAATGAGATGAGAGTTGGTATATGTGAGGTGTGCCCTTTCTTCTCTACCTAGCTTCCTCCCTTCTGTCTTCCCGCTTGGTGCGGATGGGTTGAGAGCCATCAGCAGGCTGCTGGACCCAGTTGTTATCATGGAGTCCAACACGGCAGCCTGGCGTGTCCTTATCTGTACGCCGGCAGCACATCCAGTAGGAACGTCCATAAGGCAGGTCATGGTGGTAAGGTTTGGGGTGCCAACGGCACAAAGAAACATCCCCGCGCTCATATTGTCGCTTACACTGCTTGCAGGGGTCATCTCTATAGAGAGGGTCTTGATTCCACCGTGAATCCACAGCCCGCACCCCATATGTCTCAATCAATACCTTGAAGTAGTGGCAGGTGCACTTAAGGGCTGCCAGCGAGCGCGTTGGCAGGTAGCTGAAGATGTTGACCATGATGTGGTCAGGGAGCAGTAGCATGTACTGTCGAGGTTCAAGGAGTCGCTGAATCTGAAAGCGGATCTCCAGGAAGTCATGGGAAACGTGACGGTAGAGGCGACACAGTGAAGGGTCTGAACAGTCTTCTCCAACGCTAGGAGAGTCTGGTCGGGTCGCCCGCTCCCCTGAGCCCACTGCCACCCCTGCCCCAGGACTGTTGTTGTTGGCGCAGTCCAAAGAGCACATTCCTGACCCACTGACAGGACCCGTTCCTTTTACATCCTCCTCCTCAGCCCGAGGGGGCTGAAGGAAAAAGAGCTGTCCAGGAGGGGGATCGTCACATGAGGGATCAGTAGAGTTTCCAACACCCCCACTGCCCCCTCCCCCATTAGGCATAGCAAAACATACAGTCTCCTCCTGCACATTCTCTGTACTGTCCTTGCCATAAAACACACACTGATCCACAGCACCTGTCACCACCACCTCCACATGGAAACCAGTCACTCGCTCCCTTCCTACACCTACAGCCTTCTTCTCCCCAGAAGAGAGCTCCTGGGTTGGGTCTGGGCTGCCACAGGCCGGCCTGTCAGGGTGATGGAGGTCTCCATCTGGTTTCGGGGTAGCAGTTGTGGCAGCAAGCAGCAGACTACTAGGGTCTCTTGATGAGGGACTGACAAGCTGGTATAGGTCACAGGTAATTTTCTCTTTGGCCCTGGCTGCTGCCTGATTACTCCCACCACCACAGCTCATAAACATACAGCGGGACCTGCCAGCTGGCTCCAGTTGAGACCGTGGGTCCAGATTTGACACTCTGAAAGCTATCCTAACCTCACCATGACTGTGGCTGGGGGGTGGAGGAGGTGTTACCGTACCAGACTCACCTCCTCTCCTACACTCCCTTCCCCTGTCTTGATTACAGGACTCTATTCCAGAACCAGGGCCCAGATGAAGCTGATTCTCCAGGTTCTGGGACTCAAAGTGCGCAATGGCCTGGGCAACCCTGAATGACTCCTGCTGCTGCTCCTCAAGCTGCTGGTCTGTCTGGATGGGAGACGACGACTTCTGGACCTCTTTGGAGGGTTGACCACTGGAACTGTCTGACACAAAAACCATAGGAGAGGGGTCTGACACTGTGCCCCGCAGGAGAGTGTGCTGGTGGTGGGTAAGGCCCGGGCTCTGTGTGGTAATAGAGGGCTGGTGGTGGTGTTGGTTACCATGAACACCCACAATCCCTTGAAGGGCCATGGCAGTCCTCTGCTCAACCAAGGCAACCATCTCTGCAACTGAAAGCAGGTCCGTTTCATTCACCCCTCCCAGCTGTGGTTCATCAGGGCTGGGAGGTGTAAGGGAGGGGTCATTGCTGAGAAGTGACTCTGAAGCTTGGGAGCGTGTTGGAGGGTCATAGGATGAACATCGCCTCCGCCTTTTGGCTTTACTGCAGTCAGTCGCCCAGTTACCTTTGACCTGTTTTTAAAAAATAAAAATAAATTTTTTTTTAGCTCTTTGTCTCAATTCTAACTAAAATATCTTACAAAAACAATTATATAACTACAAAATAAATAAATACAATACTTCTTTACGGTTTCACCTCCTTACCTTCATTGCACTGGGTCTAGGCTGTCCAGCTCCACTGAACTGGTGCGCAACAAAGAAGGCAATCTTCTCCTTGGTATTACCTGGCTTAATAACATACCAGGTGTCTAACAAAACACGGCCATCTTCCATCTGGGACCCAGAGGAGGGTGGTGTAGGAGGGGCTGAAGGAGGTTGAGTGGCTTGGTTCTGTGTGAGGGAGCTGGAGTCAAGCTCAGGTTCAGGTGGAGTGTTCTCTGAACCCACACCCTCCTCTTCTCCATTCTGCTCCTGCACCCCCACTATCATCCCTACATCTTCATTTCTGGCACCTGAAGAGGGCTCAGACTTGCAGAGGGAGGGGGACCCTGCCACACCACCACTACCTCCACCACTCCCCCCTGAGCCTGGATTCCTAGCTTTGTTCTGGGAGTAGGTGCCAAAGGGGCGTGGGCACCACAGCCGGATGTGGGAGAAGGTGTCTCGGTCCATCAGGATGCGGACCACCGTGGCATATCGGCATCTACACTGGCCAGCAAACACCCGGAGCTCTCATTGTCGGCTCC